TGAATAAGTGTTCTGGAATCACTGAGTGGTGATACCACAGTGGTTGTGACGGGAGTACTGATGGAGAGAAGTGTGAGGGAGAGAAGTGCAGAAGATGAAGGGAGTGATTTTGTGATCGAGGAAGTGACGATGGTGGGAAGGCAACGGGGGTGTTGGTGATGGTGGCGGTGGTGACGACAACGAGAATGGAATTAGTGATGGAGACAAGAACATAAAATCCATTTCCTTTACACTCCTGTACAGCCCTTTGTAGTTTACACCAGCCATCACACATTCCTCATCCTCACAGCTACCTTTGGGTGGGCGTTTTTATCCTCATTTTATAAATGATGACAACGAGCCTCAGACAAGCCACATTCTGCTTGCCCAAGGTCACAAGATCAGGAAGATGGCCCAGGCTCTCTGCCTTCAGGAACCTCCCAACTCGGAGTGGGGTGCCAGGGCAGCATCGTGATGCCATGGGTGGGTGGTGAGGCAGAGGCCCTCCTGCGGTCCCAACACAGAGGGCTCAGCAGTCCCTGGTTTGGGGGAGCAGGGAGCAGCAGGACTGGGTGACAGAGGAAGCAGTTCTAATCCTGGCCCCATCACCCACATGCTGTGACCTTCTCTGGGAGACAGCCCAGGCAGATGTCAGCTGCCAGGTGACAGCGGGCCTACAGGGCAGAGCCAGTGGAGCCTGGCGGGAGCCCCACACACCAAGAGGATGAAGTCAGGGGTGGGAAATAATCCTGGAGTCAGAGGAAGGCTTGCTTTGGGGTGACATTCCTGGAAAGTTCTACTCCGATTGGCTTGAGGTTGGGGTTTCTGCACAGGGCTTCCCAGTCAGGAACAAGTTTATTAATAAACGCTGCCTTGCCCTCTGCCCTCACCCTGGGGAGAAGGCAGGATTTCCTGGGGCTTCTGGCCTCTCACCCCAGAGGTGGTGAGTCCCATTGTGGATAGAGGGAGACAGGGACTGAGTCCTTATATCTGGGCAGTGGGTACAAATGTCCTGCACCCCCAGACTACATTTCCCACCTCCCTGCAGCCCCAGGGCTCCTCTGCTTCAGCCAGACTCTGGGGACTTCGGAGAGATGGCAAACAAGGGTGGGCAGTGTGTACGTGATCACACAGGGCTGCAAGCACATAGGGGTGTCTGTGTGCACGACTGGGTGTGCCGACATGAGCAGGTGGTAAGGGTGGTAATGGGCTCCCCAGGGTACACACGTGCAAGGGTACACGTGGTTGGCCTGGAAGAGTACAAACTATGTCTCAGCTGCTGGTGAGCAAGTTCTGTGTGTGTCCTTGTGAGCCCTCGGTGATGTGTGTAGGTGGTAGTAGGGGGACAACTGAATATGAGGGGTGCTAAGGCCTCAGGAACAGGCGATCCCTCTCCCAAGGCGCTTCCCTCTGTAGCTCATTAGCACCCAAGGCCTAAATTTACTGCCCCTACTTCCCTACCCACTGTCTCTGACCTCAATAGGCTCCTGCCCCTTTGCTAGGACAGTGGAATGGGAGGAATTACTCCTTACCCTGCAGGGCAGGATCTCCTGGTGCAGGAGGGAAAGTCCTGGGGGGCAGGGCAGAGGGGAGACAGGGCACAGAACTTAATATAGTCACAAGGCAGGCCGAGGAGGATGTCGGCTCCTATTACACCTGCCACCTCACCCCCATCATATGACCCAGCTCTTGCTGGCAAGGCGTGGGCGGGTGCGAAGCACCTGGTCCTGGGCAGTGCTGGGGGCCGCCCTGCACTCCGCCCTTCTGCACATCCTTAGATGAAGCCCCTCTTCCAGCTGGTCCTCCCGGCAAGGGGCAGGGTCCAGCTCTCCATTCAGCATAGCTCAGGCATGGCTCAGCTGGGTGGTCCTGACTCCTAAGTGGGCCAGGTCAGGAAGCAAGGGAAGTGGGGGCGGCTCTAGTGCTGATCCCAGCACAGCTGCCACAGGAACAGGTCCTTCTGACCCACATCCTCCCCTACTCCCTCCCTCACACCACAGATCCATGGTCCCAAACTATGGCACATCTATGCGCAAAGCCCTGAGCTAGGCAGAGGGATGAGAGCAAGGGTGAGGGGAGCAGAGCCAGGTTGGCAGACCCTTCCAAGCCACTCCTGGAAAACGGTGTGTGTGCTGAGTCAGGCTTAAGACAAGCTCCTCTCTTAAACTCCTCCTAAACAGATATTCCAGAGCCCACCCTGGTGGGAGACACAGCCCTGCCCTCAGGGAGCCCCAGTCTGAGGGAGCGATCATGCCAGATCCCCTCTGTTGAGCTTCCTGTGTGACCTTGGGACTTTGCTCAACATCCTGGAACTTCAGTTTTCTTGTCTGTGAAATGGAAGCACTGCCTCTTCCCTCACAGGTACTGAGTTTGCCTGGCAGACAGCAAAAGCTAAATTAAAGGTAGATCTTCAATGTGGGCTTTTTGTGGAAGAAATCATGATATTTTGGTCTTTAATTGGGGAAATAGATTGCAGTGGGATCCTTTGCACACCCATTCTCACCCAGAGATGGGTCATCTCTGGAGAGTCTGGGCTGCTGTGACACCCCAGGGCCTCTCCAGGTAGCCCCCAGCTCAATGTTTACAGTCAACAAATACCCTGGGAAGTAAGCCACATGAGTGGCCCCAGGCCTGAAGATACCAGTGAGGCATGAGGGACAAGGCAGTCTTTGCAGCCAACTACCCACAAAAGATGCTATCCGGTGGCTTCTGGTCATTGACTTCCTGGAAACTCGGTTTTTTTAATTTACTTTTTATTGCGGTGTAAGATCTGTGTATCAGATTACACAAATCTTAAGAGTACTGCTTGATAAATTTGTGCATGTGTGTATGCCCATGTCATCACCACCCAGATCCAGCACAGGATTTCAGCAGCCCGGGAAACTCCCTCAAGTCAGTCCATCCCCCAGGATAGAAGTAACCACTATTTTGACTTGTATCACCACAGGCTGGCTTTGCTTCTTGAATCTCATACCAATGGTCTCCAACAGCATGTATACTTTGTGCCTGGCTCAGTTTATTCAACACGACATGTGTGAGGGCCATCCATATTGTTTCTGCTGCATTAGTTTTTTTTCCTTTTTCATGGCTGAGTTGCCTTCCACTGAGTTGCTGTGCCACGATTGATTTATCAGTTCTGCTGTTGATGGACACGTTGGTTTGTTTTCAATTTTTAATTGATAGCATTAAAGCAGCTTCATCATTGTCAGACATGCCTTTTGGTGCACATAACCATGGCCACCCATTCCTGAGAACAGATTTTGAGGGGGATGCCTTGTTAAGAACTCCAGGAAGGAAGGGAGGGATTAAAAATTACTGAGCTCCTGCCTGGCACCATGAACGTTTCTGCATCCACTGGACCAGTCACAGGAGAAGGAAGACAAACAGAGGAACTCCACAAACCACACCACTGCACTTAAAGCCAGCATGAGCTTGTGAGTGTGTGTGCTTATATTCATTTCCTGGGGCAGCCGTAACAAATTACCACAGACCCAGGGTCTTAAAACAGAAATTTCTTCTCTCACATTAAGGAGGCCAGAGTCTGAAATCAAGGTGTCAGCAAGGTTGGTTCCTCCTGGAGACTCTAGGAAGATTCTGTTCCAGATGCTCTCTTAGCTTCTGGTTTTTGCTGGCAATCATTGGTGTTCCTTGACTTGTAGTTGCATCATTCCAATCCCTGCCTCCATCATCACATGACCTTCTTCCTTGTGTGTCTCTATATCTCTGTGTCTGCAAATCTCCTACAAGAGCATGTGTGTATATGTGCCCCTGTGTCCATGTCTTGGACTCCCTTCTGGAAGGGCTGAGAAGGGTGGCTAGGCAGCAATGGCCGCAGGCCTGGCTCCCCACTCCCAGCTGGGGTGGCCCCATGAAAACTGGAGGGCAGAGGGCGAGCTGTGAAAAGCAAGGTCAAGGGTGTTTGCTAAGCTGGGTGCAGACCTGTAGGCTGAGGTGGTGGCTCTAGGCGGCAGCATCGTTCCCAGGTCCTCTTCCAGGAACTTTCCTAGAAGGCCCCTCCACCCAAGCTCCCATCCCCTGCACCCAGTTTGCCTGGATGGGTGGTGCTGGCTGACTCATCCCCTCGGGGGCTGGAAGCCAGCACTGGGCTACAGGCTACCTGTTGTGCCTGTCTGGTAGAGGTGGGGCAGCAGCCAGCCCCTCCCAAGCCCCGCTCCCAGGCCCAGTCTCCAGGCCGACCCGGAGCAGTGCCCAATCACCCCTAACACCCGGCCGGGGCTGGACCCCAGGAAGTGGAGAAAGCCAGCAGTGAGCACATGGTCAGGTAAGGCCCAGGATGAAGGCTGCTTCTCTTCTCAGGGCACTACTTGTAGGCAAACCCACCACCCAAAGACAGGACATTGGGAGGGTCTCCTCAATAGTTATGTCAGCAGGGCCTGCTCTCAGCCAGTTACCTCTTAAACTTCCCAACCAAGTTTAAATGGTGTTCTCATTATCCCCATTTTATAGATACTATCACTGAGGCCCTAAGGAGTTAAATGATCTGCCTAAGATTATACACATTTGTTTACATTTGTTGGAATTTTTTAATTCTCTCTGGAAATCCACACCCTGCCCCCCTCCTCCAAACTCAGACCACAGCCGTTCCTTCCCACCAGATACCCTTCCCAATCTTCCCCAGGAAGACCTCTGGCCCGTGGGGTAGGATGAGGCGGGGAGGGTTTCAGCCGGTCTCTCGTTTCACTCTCCTGGGCTCCTCTGTGGTGTCCTGGTTTTGGTTTTGCTGAGGTGGTGAGCAGGCTGTCTGCGAGGATGTCAGAGGATCTGTGTGCACACAGCAGGAAGAGAGGGTGTCTGGGCATGTGGGATACCTCCAGGTGGGTTTGCCCAGGTTGGATCTGTGAGCATGCCTAGGTGCAGGTGTGTGAGCCCCTGTGGGCATTCACAGAGTCTGTCCTCTGCATGTTTGGATGTCTATAGAGTGCACCCATTTCTCCCCCCTTACCAGGTCACTGCCACCATCCTCAGTGCACAGACTCCCGGGTTCCAGGTGAGAGCCTGGTGAAAACCGCCTGTGACTGGGGACAGAGACACCTGAGGCTCAGGCCCAGCCCCACTTGCTCGGGGCCACAGTGCCCTTGAGCTGGCATTGCCCCACCCAGGCAGCGGGAGTGTCCTCACCCAATGGGATGGGGTGACACGGGAAGGGGAGGGATGGGGGAGGAGACGGCAGCATGGCTTCTCCCGCCCCTAGGAGTACAGGGAGTGCCTGGCTTCCCAGATGGGAGGCTCAATACCCCAGCTCTCAGTAGGCTGGTGGGGGGTGGGTCATGCCAGGACTTGGCATTGACTACAAAGTGTGGGGGGCACCCCTCCAGCACTCTCGCCGCCGGCTGGCAGGGGGGAGGGGCTGTGACGTTCAGTGGCCTCATGCAGCGGAGAGGAAGTAACTAATTGCTGACCTGATGACTGGCGGCCTGAGGAGTGGGGTGATGATGCCACTCACGGAAGCAGGCGCCCTGGCCCCAGGAGGGGGCCCCGCAGGGACAGAGTAGGCCAGGCCTGCGCCCTGCACAGGCTGAGGTGGTTGTGGCCAAAGGATCAGGGAGTGGGGGTTGTTGAGGCTGTGACCGTGGGAAAGGGCTTCTCCCGGGCTTCCCTCAGCTTCAAGGGAAAAGAGTTCAGAGGCTCCAAGAGGATGAGGGGATTTGGGAAGGGGCTACAGTGGGGACAGAAGGGGAGTACATGGTGGCTGGAGGCTTCCTCTTGCTTCCCCTCCAGCTACACTCCCCCCACCTTCCCATGTCTCCCCACCCCAACCTTTGTGCCCTCTGTGGCCCCTATGGCCCAGGTTAGTGAGGAAGGAGGGAGTGAATGGAGGTCTCCTTTCATCACAAGACCCCAAGGCCCAAGCAGATTACTTGGCCATACTCACCCTGCTGAAAGCCAGAGTATCCAGGAGACCTGGTGAGACTTCAGGTGTCATCAAGGACAGAAAGAGAGGGTGCTTCAGGCACGGAGAACAGCACACGCACACAAAGGCTGGGCAGTGGGGTTTGTGAGGTTCATGGAGGACGGAGGTTTGGCTGCCATGGTAATGGGGAGAGAGGAGGTGGGCAAGGCCATTCTGTACCAAGGGCCACACTGTCCCTTCCTGGAATAAACTGTGGGTAACCAAGCTTGGAGATTCTCCCACATGCTGGCCACAGATTCTGACGAGGCAGGCCTGGCCTTGACTGCCAGACAGGGGCCAAGTCTAGGTCAAAAGCCACACAGGATGGGGTCCCTACCCACCAAATCCTCAGATGCCTAAACCGCGGAGGACCCGCGCCTTGAGTACCAAGAAACGGGACCCATCCATTGGAAATCAGTCCTCTGGGCCCCTAGCGCCCCCTGTAGGCAGGAAACCACACCAATGGGGGGTGGGGCCTCCATCGTCCTGCGAAGGAAAGGAGACAGACTTGCCGTCCAGTAAGCACACAGACTCTGCCTCAGGAACCTCCAATGTGATGAAAGAGACAGACATTGACTTCCCAGCTCCAATCTGAAATCCAGCCTCCGTCCTCAGGAAGCTCCTATTTCTGATGAAGACAAGTACTCTACCATCAGAGCTCTATTCTGTAGGGTAAAACACAGCATCCAACTTTCGGAAACTTACAGTCTGAAAGTAGAGACACAGAGCCCTGCTGAGTTCTGGGGATCTCGCAATCTGTTGCAGACACAAGATGACATTTTGGTGACTCCAGGGCTGCTAAAAAAACAAAAGAAAATAAAACAAGGCGTCTAGTTAAATTTGAATTTCAGATAAACAAGGAATAGTATTTTAGTATAAGTATATCCTATACAACATATGGGGCATACTTATACTTAACAAAAGTATTCATTGCTTATTTTAAATTTAATTTTAACTAGACATCCTGTATTGTTATTTCCCCAATCTGACAACCCTAGATGCCTCCAGTCCGAGGGAGGAGGGAGGACCCTCAGACACGGAAATGCAGGTAAACATCTGAGCGTGCTCCTGCTCATGGAGCCATAGAGGGGCAGGAGGGGAGTCCTGGGGCGCCGGCTCGCAGCAGTTTAAAATTCCTTCCAGGCCAGATCCCTAATCCCTCAGTGCACAATGGCCGCCTTCTCCCCCGCCGCCTGCGCCCACGCCCTCCCCCGCGGGGCCGTGGCAGTGCCACCACGGGCCTCTTTAAGCCCCTTTGAAGCCGCCTGAGCCCCGCGCCGCGGGAGGCCCCGCCGCTATGCCAGCTATGCCAGCTATGTCCCCACCGCCGTGGCCACCACCGCTCCCCTATTAATGCTGGCTAATCTGGCTAATAAATAAACTCCCCTCCCAGCCTCAGTCCCCTGTTGGCTGCTCCCTGCTCCCCTAGAATTGATTTCAGGACTCGGGTAGAACAAGTGTCCCCACTCCCTTCTGATATCTCTGACTTTTTCTTCTCTCGCTGCCCTAGGTCTGTTGCACTTCTCTAGAGAATGGGGGAGGAGGGGTGGGTAGGTCAATGCCTCGCGTGTCTTTCAGTCCACCTGCGCGCCGGGAGCCCGCCACATGGCTGGCTGCAGGGGACCCATCTCGAAGCCCGGGGTAGAGCCGCAGGACAGAGGAGCGCCCCCTGGAGGCCGGAGGAGGCGCGAGCCACGCCCCCTCCTTGCCCCGCCCCAGGCCCGGCCCTCCTCTGTCCACAGAAGTGGGGACACACTGCGAGTAGCCCCGGGACTGGTGACTTGGTGCCAGAGGAAGGCGCCTGCGCCTCCTGTGGCAGGAGTCCATCTTCGGCGGCTTCTGCCGCCCCCTACGTCCCCACCCGGGCTTTCGAGAGTCTGACTCAGAGCCGAGTCCGCAACGCTTCACCTTCTATAATACACCCGGAGCGTGCGGAGAAATTACAGGATTGCAGGGGCACGGCTAATGCGCTCTAATTACCCACCGCCGCTCTCATCTGCGGCGCTCGGCAGTTCTGGGCCAACGCCGTAATTAGGTTGCCCCTCCCGGGTCCCGGAACCCGTCCCGGGTCTCTGGTCCCCAGGAGCGCACGCGTCGGCTCCGCCCAGCGCCGGCTCTTGCCGCCCTCCAGGGCTGCCCCTTGGTCCCAGGAAAGAGCAATGAGACAACACTTTGGGTAGGGAGAAGGGAGATGCTGGCCTTGGAGACCTATAAGCCTACAGTCTTTGAGATCTCTTCTGGAAAGGACTGGGAGAGTAGGGAGGGAGCAGGACCCTTCCACTGACATGGACACTGAGGCCTATTGGAAAGTTAACTGTCCAGGGGAGGGGTGAATAGGGCACCAGGGCAACAGTATCCCATTTTGCACATGAAGTTCAGAAAAGTAAAGACTCTCAGGGAAAACCATCCAGCCAGAACGTTCAAATCAGCACATTTAAGGAGCCTGACAGGCTCCTTCCCTTTACAGGGGAACTACCTTCCTGCAAAGAAAGGTGATACCCTCATCACAGACCTGGAGCCCTGGCAGCCGACCAGCTGTGGCTGTTGGTCACAAGGGAGCTGGAGAGGAGTGGCTCGAGTCTCCCATCCCAGGAAGGGTAGGAGGAGGTGCTGAAGACACAGAAGCCAAGCCTGGTGGCCAGAACTTGAGGGGAGCAACTTGGCTGTCAGTTTCTTTATCCAAACCAGGCTCAAACGTCTCCTCTATCAGTAATTCTTTCCTGATATCCAAGGGATTACAAACTCATGGCCTTGGGCCAAGTTTAATCTTTAGTGAGGTTTTGTTTGGCCTTCAGTGAGTATGTGGTTTTTATATTGAATGTGAGAGCCTACAGATAATGCGGGCTGCCCTCCCCATTGGCAAAGGCCATTGTGGCCAGACTAGGTCCCCAAAGACATCTGAGTTTGAGACTTCAATTTAGACTAGCCCATCTGGCCTGGCCCTTTACGCTTTTCCTCATTTTCTAGGCTCTTAGTCTGCACTATTATGCCTTTATAGTTTTTGCACGTTTCTCAGTCGGCGTGCCAAGGTGAGCGTCCCTCCGAGCTTTTCTTTGTGTTTCCCACATGTGGTGGCAGTGGGGCTGTATATGCTTCTGGAAACCCCTCTGATACCCCCTTTTTTCATCTTGAGTATCAGTCCATGCCTTGAGCAGGCACCATATCTTTTCCAGCAGGGATGACAGGTATTTTTCTGCCATGAGACTAGAGGTTCCTTGGGGGCAGGATATTGGATCTCTCCTTTAAAACTGGGATCTCATTGAGGGACAAGGATGTGGGGTGTAGCAGTAGTATCCTCCATCGCAGGGAGCTCCCTGAGGCCGGGGCTGTGTCTCCCCTCAGACCGGGGTTCCCTGAGGCCAGGGCTGTGTCTCCCCTCAGACCGGGGCTCCCTGAGGCCAGGGCTGTGTCTCCCCTCAGACTGGGGATCCCTTGAGAGGAGGGCGGTGTCACTTCTCAAACTGGGGCTCCTTTAAGGCATTGGATTCTCCCCTCATATGGGGCCTTTGCATCCCACTCCACCCCTCTGGCTCTAGGCTGTGCCCAGGCATTCCTCCCAGGACACCATTTGTCAAGCTTTGATGAATGAAACCTACTAAGAATAACTCAGTCCTTGTAGTCTCTAAAGGACAGGGGTGTGGGGATGGGGGGGCGGAGACTGGTGATTGTGAAGGGGTTGGGGGAAGATGGACACATGTATTCATGCATTTTTCCCAGATGCCCATCTGGACACTGGAAGGAGACACAGTGGATGCCAAAGAGCCCCCTATTGTGCCATTTCTGCTGTCGCCAGTAGGGGGTTGTCCACAGGACTCCTGAGATAGAAATCCGAGCCCCCTTCTTCACAGCCTTCTCGCCCAGAAGTCATCACCTCAGGGCCACACAGCCCCCTGTATGCCTGCCACTGGCTCCCTCTGCTTGGGAGTTAGGTGCTTGGGAGGGGGTGCTGCTTCCAAAGGGACAGGGGCTGTAGTGGGGTGCCTGTGGAGCAGCCTTCTTCTTCCTCCTGTGGACTGTCAGAGTGACCATGGGGGAATGCAGACAGTCTCAAACTGACAGAAGGGCATTTGGTGCTTTAACTGGGGGAGGGAGTGTGAGTGACCCAGAGGATGAGCCCCTGTCCTTCACCCCTACTCCACTCTGCCGCCATCACCCTGCCTCTTTCCACTCCCAAACCTCAAGCTTCCAGTTAAGGACTGAGTGACCTTTCTGATGCAACTGCTCTCCCAGGCACTTCACGGGGCCCATGGGGTGGGGAAGCTGTGACCTTAACCTGCTTCTCTAGACAAGCCTTTCTTGGCACTCCACCCCCACCTGCCACCTCCTGAGAGGGACATTTTGGCCTAGTCTTGGCAAAAACATCAGCCTATGAGCCAAGCAGTCTGGTTTGGCACCAGCCCTGCCACTGACCCCACTGTGACCTTGAGAAGCCCATTCGCTCCCTGGGCCTCAGTTTCCCCACATGTAAAATTAATTTTGTTTAGTTCTCATGGTTTTTAAAACTTTTTTTTAAATAATAGATCCTTTTAATAGTAACTTATCTGGTAACAGAAAAAGTCTGGGGTTCTATGGTCAACACAGGAGCGGGGGCCCAGAGCCCCAGTGTTTGGTCCGTCACACACATGGGTGCCTGTGTACACATGGGTGCCTGTGTACACAGACACATGCAGAGATCAGCTCCAGGGCACTCCACAGAGCACACTTCACAAACCTCTGAAATCCCCTGTGCAAACATTCTGAGGCCCTGCCAGAGCTGGGAGCTCTAGAACTGGGGAGGCTGACAGCTCTGAGGATGAGGCAGTGATTGTGGGCTGCCCAGGTACAGGGGGCAGGGCCAAGGGGTCACAGGGCCGGGGGCTGGAGCTAGTAGAGGGGAGTCCTTTCAACACCAGGTAACCCCACCACAGTCCAAAGCTGGGTCCACGCAAGCCCTCCCTGCACCATCTGCCCACGCTAGCCAGAAGTCAGGTAGGCTTGTCTGATGCTGGGCCCCCTCAGCTGGGGGGAGAGGGGGACAAGTGGTGATGGAGTCCTCTTCCCCAGCGGGAGGGGCCACAGGTGTGGGTGGGAGTCTCTGGCAGCCTTTCTCTGGAATCCTTCTCACTATGCCCAGGATGAGGGCACTGAGCACCAGGAAGCCCAAGGTGGGTAGCAGATCCCACTACAGGAGACACACGGAACCTCACATCACCCCTAAAACTGGAAGTGTGAGGATTTGGTGACAACAGAGAATGCAGGTGGTGGGGGTGCTGTCAGGCTCTGGTGACAGGAAGGCAAAGGTGAGGAAAGAAGCAGATGCCACACAGGGAAGAAAGCTGCACCAATAAGAGGCAGGCCTGGGCCTGGGGTCCTAGCTTAGGGCAGCGGGGAGAGTCCTTCTGAAGTGAGGGAGCAGTAGAAGCAGCCCAGGCCCTCTTCCCTGGCAGCTGGACTGTGCTCAGGAGTCACCAGGCAAAGAAGGTGCCGCCCCCTCCCTTACACCCCCCAGGCAGCCCTAGAGAGACCATTGTTCCCGATTGCCCTCAGGGAGCATGGAGGGGGAGCACAGGAGTCTCCCCCTGGTCCCCCAGCCCTGGGATGTCCTCACCATCCTCTATCCCAAACACATACACACACACACACAATGGCATTTGTCGCCTAGAGACTTCACAGCCTTGGCCTCGGAAACTCCTGGATCACTGCTGTGCCAGGCGCGGCTCTGGGTACTAGGGGCTCCAAGAATGGAAAAGTCAGCCGAGGTTTCTGCCCTCGTGGTGCTCACATTCTAGGGAGGGAGTGACAGATGAGCAATAAGTCACAAACAAATAAAGTTCAGGTTGTGATAAGACAACTTTTGGAGTGGAGTGTTGTGGGGCTGGGGCTGTTTAGATGGGATTGTCAGAGAAGGTCCCCATGAGGAGGTAACATTCCAGCAGAGACCCGAGCCACAAGAAGCCAGTCATGCTGTGGGGCCAAAAGGACTCCTAAAACATACAGTATCTTTAAACAGAAAGGATTTAAACAGAAAGGACTCTGTATCCATAAACATTAAAGGGCAGGGACATGAGAGCTGTTTCTGGAGCATCTGTTATATGTCTACACAGTGACTGGAAATTCACATTCATCATCTACTTCCCTCTTCAGAACCTGTGTGTCAAATAGTATTATTTTCATTTTACAGATAAGAAATATGAAACCCAGAGAGGTTACTGTTTTATTCATTTGCAAAGGTGTATTGGGTTTTAGCCTCTGAAAACACTATGATAAATCCCACGTGGTCTGTGACTTCTTAGACCCTGCATACTGTGGAGGAGTCCAGGTCTGAAAGGATGAGGAGGGGTGACAGAGGAAGTGATGAGGTGAGGAGGGGGCTGGGAGGGTGGCACCAGTGGCAGCGTTACCTGTGGGCTGGTAGGAGGGTAGGAGGGCAGATGGAGCCACCCGATGTGGCTGTTAGGCAAGGCAGGTCAGGTGGGGACTCTTCCAAGTCTCTGGTGACGTGGCCACCCCTGAGTGACTAACGGCAAAACGTGGTGCCAGCCAACAGCAAGGACGACTCACACAGGCTCACACACTCTACACGTGGAGACAAACAAGTGTCCACTGCACAGGCATGAGTGCAAGAGCAGCTGGTCTGTACTGATGAGGGGCTGGGGACAGACACAAGACAGGGGTCAGAGATCACAAAACAGCACGACCCCAGCGTAAATCAGCCTCAGGCCCCAGGAATGTCCTTCTGGAGACTCAGGACAGATGCCCCGCCATAGTCCTCTCCCAGGCTCTCAGGACCCTTGCCCTTCCCCTCCTCCCCATATGCTCAGAGACCTCATCTCCCAGCACCTTGTCCAGAACACGCAGACTCCGTGCTGGCCACACTCACTGGGGATACAGCCCTGGGCATCGCAGCCAGCAGCAGAGTCCAGACTCAGAACAGACCCTGCTGGCTGGAGTGAACAGGCCTCATCACACAGATGAACATTCGCAGGGCCAAGGCAAGGACTCGGATGGGAGGCCAGACACTCAACAGCTCAGACACAGGCCGGGGGAGGCCACACGGAAGATGGGTTCAGATGAGCATCCCTGGCAGAAGACTTGTCACTCCGGGCAAGCAGCAGCCCGAGAGAGGGGCGCCCCGGACCCTAAGCTGGCCAGGCCTTACAGGAGCAGTGGCTCTAGACATTGGCGTCACCCTCATGTCAAGGGGACAATTACAGAGTGACAGTGTTGGGAGGGGTCCAGAAACCCCATCATACGAGGAGTTGCCACAAGGATGTTAAGCCTCAGGAATGTAAGCCCCGGGCACCCCGGGAGTCCCATGCTCCCACCAGGGCCTTTTTGTGTCCCCCACTGGCAACTTTCCTGCTCCTCCTTAGCTAGTCAGCCCTGCCCCTTCTTCAGATCAGCTATTTTCTGATCTCTCTGTGGATTATGTCCCACTTTCATATGCTCTGCCTTGGTCTCAGGTTGGTGCTTACCAGAGGCAGCTTTACAGTTATCTATGGAATTGCTGGGTCGAAGGGTCTCCATAACTAGACGCTGTGAGGTCAGGACTGTATGTGCTGTTGCTCCTCATTTTCTTCCTGGCAAATAATAGAAGCTTGATAAATGTCTAAAGAGGGAGGGAAGGAAGAGAGGGCAGGATGGAGGGAGGGAGGGGAAAATGAGGGAGAAAGGGAAGGTGGGGGGAGGAGGGAAAGATGAATGGGGAGATGAGCGTGCCTTGAACCCTCGGGGGACTGCCATATAAAGGAGGGTTAATCTGGTTCTCCAGAGGCAGAAGGTCAACTTAGGAAGACAGATTTCCAATCATCAACAGTAAGGTTTTAAAAGTCAGGTGGTCACAATGTGGTCTGGGCTGCCCCAAAAGACTGTGAGCTTCTCAGGATGAGTTTAAGCAGAACCAAGAGGAGTACTTCTCAGAGATGCTATTACTTCATGGAATGAAGGAAGCAATGAATGAATGAATGAAAATGACTGGCAACTGCTATAGAGCATTGCATGAACTGGGCAGAAGACTGGAGACGTCTGACCTTTGTCCAAGAACTGCATCTGAGTCCGGCTCTGCCAGACCCCAGGTGGACAATAAGCCATGAGCCTGTCCTCAAGGCGCTCAGCCTAGTGAAAGATGCACACAGCACACACACATACAGCGAAGCGCACTTCTGATCCATCCAGCAGCACCAGATGTGCCGTGTGGAATGACACTCGCAGCAGGGTCAGGAGAGCGGGGTCACGGGAGCTCAGCCCTGACCTCTCCCACACCGCCCAGCTTTCTCAAGGAGGTCACAGGTTGGAACCCACTTTGGGCCACTTTCCCACAGCGGGACTCCTTGGCAGGAGTCTGTCCTGAGCTTAATGTCCCTCTGACAGCTTCCTCCTCAGGGCTGAGGCTGGGGTTGGGAAGGAGGAACTTGGCACCTGGACTTACTTGGCAAAGACCTGGCCTGCAGAGCCTGGGGGGGAGGCGGCAGCACCTTGTCTCTGAGTCCCCGCCCCTCTGACGGGCAAGTTCAGAAGCCTGAGACTTAGGCCCATCCCATACCTGGATACACCTCCCCACCCCCGTGAG